GCGCTCAAAAATGCAGCCTAGGTGGAGTAGTCGAACACAGATCCACTGATCCTTCAACACAGAGCATCTTCAGAAGACAAGTTGATAAAATCAATTTTAAAAATCTGTGTTGTTCGATACAAGTGTGTATTGAACCTAAAGCACTGTATTGAACTGTTCGATATGGGTACATGTATTGTTGCACCCCTAATATATAAACAGTATTTATTAGCTTTTCTAATGTTGAGTGTAAGCATATAAAATGATGAACCACTTCCTTTAGGTTTACTTTCAATAATTATATTTTCCTCCGTTTTTGTCTCCACAGATGTGCAGCCTAATAAGAAAGGTGAACTCATATTTCAAATTTAACATTTTACTTTCCCTCATAGTTAGGTATCATTTTTTTAAATCTGTCTTCTTGTCTGTAGAGGATGAATATGACTACAACACATCAGAGCGAAGTCCTACTTACGAGAATGAGGAAAAGGTAAAACGATGGTCGTTTTGACCCGAGCTGCACCGATGCAAGACYGTGCACTTTTGTTGCCATCTGTTTTCAGTGTTTTTATTATTTCCTTACAAACCTCCTGGCTTTTTAGATCAACACCTCTGCAGAGCTCAAGCAGGCAATCAAACCCAATGAGATTGCAAGGGATGAACTAGTAAGAACATATTTGCTAAAAGAAATTTGTATAACTATGTATTTCATTTTGCTTTGACACAGCTTTACTGTTTCACGATTTTTTTTTTTCAAAGCAACCCGATGCCTTGGAGACGTTTAACCGTGGCGCCATGGTGGGGTTGTTGGTGGTGGCTGTGGCTATTGCAATGGTGATGGTCATCAGTCTGCTGCTGGTGCGCAGGAAGCCATATGGCACTATCAGCCATGGGATTGTAGAGGTAGGACCCCAGCCAGGACGATAAATCAAGCACTTAACAGTTTTATGTTTTATTCCTACCTGCACTGGTTTCCAATATACAGTAATATTTTACTATTATTCTTAAATGATGCAAACTTCTTKTTGTTATCATCACAGTACCTCCTTTTCTTTGTTTACATTTAAGAATGTTTCTAAAAGGAATTAGCCTGATTACAACATTTTCCAAGAAGTTTTAAAACTTCCTGGAAAACTTTTGAAAACTTTGAAGTTTTGAAAACAAAGATAAAACAGGGTTAAACACTAAAATAATTCAAGCTGGACTCAAACATTAAAGTATGTTTTAAAAATGTTATTTCAACTTTTTTTTGGTCCAGGAACATAATATACTATTGATAAGAAAACAATTTTGGTATTTAAAAAAAAACATTCTTCCAAAAAAGTTAAATAGGAAAATCGATATTCTCTTACATCATCGTTGTTTTGAAGCTACAGCCGGTAGCTGTTTAGCATACAGTAGCTACATCATTTTTAAACRTATTAATTACTAATAAAATGCCTGACAGCAATGGCAAGAATTTACAGAACCTGGGCAGGTTATGGAAAATTTCTCTTAAAGGATCACCTTTTTTCAAAATACAGTGGGGTGCAAAAGTTTGGGCAGCCTTGTTAATTTTCCTGATTTACCTTTATAAATCATTGATTGTTTGCTTAAAAAAATCTGTAAAATATATCATACAGGGGACAAACACAGTGATATTTGAGAAGTGAAATTAAGTTTATATGATTTACAGAAAGTGTGCCATAATTGTTTAAACAAAATTAGGCAGGTGCACAAATTTGGGCACTTTTGTCATTTTTATTGATTTCAAAACCTTTAGAACTAATTATTGGAATCAAATTTGGTTTGGTAAGTTCAGTGACCCTTGACCTCTATACACAGGTGACTCCAATTATGAAAAAGGGTATTTAAGGGAGGCAATTGTAGGTTTTTCTCCTTTTTGCATCTTCTCTGAAGAGTGCCAGCATGGGAGTCTGAAAACAACTTTCAAATGAGCTGAAAACAAAGATAGTTCACCGTCATGGTTTAGAGGAAGGATACAGAAAGCTATCTCAGAGATTTCAGCTTTCAGTTTCCACTGTGAGAAACAATGTGAGAAAATGGAGGACCACAGGCACAGTTCAAGTCAAGGCTCCAGACTCTCATTAGAAGCTATAGGAAGCATTTAGAGGCTGTTATTTCTGCAAAAGGAGGATCTACTAAATATTGAGTTTTTTCGTTTTGTTTTGTTTTTTTGTTGCCCAAATTTATGCACCTGCGTAATTTTGTTTAAGCAATTCGAATATCACTGTATTTGTCCCCTATATGATGTATTTTACTGATTTTTTTAATCCAAACAATCGATGATTTATAAAGGTAAATCAGGAAAATTATACAAGGCTGCCCAAACTTTCGCACCCCACTGTATTTAATTTTGAAAACATTCCAATAAACAGTCCTATCTATTTGTCTTCTATCTGAAAGCTGTGGCCCAAAAACATCTTGAACACAACAGAATAGTGTTGCAGCCCAAAATTGAATCCCGGACGAGCCCCCGATTAATACGACTCGGCTCGTTGGGTCTCAGAATGAGATGGAAACATCACACATTTTCAAATCTTTATTATTAAAAAAAACACTTTAATTGTCTGAAGCACCCAGCACAGCTGACACCTCACTGACCAGAGGCGACAGTTGAGAACGGCCTCATGCAGCACAGTCACAGTTGTAGCCAATGAGGATGCAGAGGTGWGTCACGTAGGAAGAAACCAGGAAATACAAACGAAATAGAGCTTTCTTGCTTCAAAATACATTATTACTCATTTTTACACACTACAATAATCCCCTGGAATAATCAGTCATAGAAAGTCTTCCAGCATCATCTCTGACTTGAGATGTTTTCATAAGTCTTGATACCCTCAAAAGGAAGTTTGAGGGGGCTTTCCCCACCTTCTGTATGTTGCTCTCAGCCTTTTTTTTTCTCAGCTTTTAAAGAAACCGTTACCTCAGTTGACAGGTATGTTTTGTGAATTGGCATTCGGCGACATAATCCAAGCTCTGGTCTCTTTCGCAGCAGGTCGACCCCATGCTGACCCCGGAGGAAAGGCAGCTCAACAAAATGCAGAACCACGGCTACGAGAACCCCACCTACAAATTCTTTGAACAGATGAACTGAAGCACCAGGTGCTTTTGCCAGCAAAGTCATGCCTGACCTCGTGTGCGCCCCCTCCCCCACCCCCCCACAAACACACAATCTCCATTAAGTCTAAGCTGAACCACCCCTCGGGTGGTTTTATGATGTGTTGCAAAAATCGTAAGCAACYGCTAAAGTTTGGGGGTTTACCTCCCCATCCCGATCATAACTCTTCATCATTACGTGAACAATGAGGTCCTGTAGCTATTGGAATCTGATTTGTTTTAGATTTAGCTGTGCCACAACCTTTTCATGATCCTGGAAAAWCTCCCTGTGGCATGACTTGACCCACATTAGAATCTAATTTTGAATGGTGCATAATGCTTTATAACCGTTTCTGTTTTTTTTAGTAGTAGTAGTTCCTTTGCTGAGATTGTACCACCGTTAAAAATATATCTGTGTAGATGGGTGTGAATGACAGCCTAGCTTATAGTTCACTTCAGCTTTCTGCGACATCAGACGGCATTCAAAATTTGATGTGGAGGTCGATGAATGTATGAGACAGACTGAAATAAATGACGGAAAAACACAGAAATTGAAACAGAACTACGGTTAATGGTACAAAAAATAGTTCTACCTTGGACGAAATACCCTATATAATAATTTGGGCAAAAAATGTCATAAACATTATTTTGCTTATTTAATTAGAAAACGGTTTGGTTTTGTTTGTTCTGCTTTTGAAAGATCAAAAGTCYGGTATTTTACCAAAAGCATGACGTTTTAGCGTACGACACTGCAGTGTTTCTTTGTGTTCCTGTCATTGCCTTTTCGAAGAGTCCGCAACGTCACCGTTTCCAAAGTGGACACTGTAAATACGAATTACACGCGACTAGATGTAGACGTTTCTATGATTAATTTGCATTAACGTAACAGAAGAAATATATTAAAAAATGATGATAATAATAATAGTGATGATGATAAACAATAATAACTGTGCTGTTATGAGAAGGAGAAACATTTTCCTAACATGGCTGATTGAAAACGGACTGTTGTAATAACCAGCACAAGACAACGACACAGCAACTACTTTCTGAATGTATTCAAGGTAGACGTTGAGATTCCATCCTCTCTTATTTATTTGATTATTTATTTTATTTCCATCACTTCCCTTTTAGTAACCCTTAGCGGGAGCAGTCCAGTCCWGAACTATCTAGGAGACGAACTAGCCGACGCTCTCGTTCATCACTTTCTGTAGCATTTTTGCGAATGTATATTTGATCAGAGGCATAGTTAGATGTTTTATCCTGCACGAAGCAGTGGAGTGTAAAATGGGCACAGCTACTGTAATGTAAAGCGTCAGTGTGTGACTCGTAGAAAACACGCCGCACTCTGTTGTGGAAGTTTTTTTTAATATATATATATTTTTGAATGTCACTTTAACATGACTGAACTCATCAACACTGATGGTAGTGCTCGATGACGGTTTTATTTACTYGCATCATGAAAACAGCTTTTCACCGAATGACTCAGTCGTTTTTTTCACAYTGGTGACCAACTCTGCATAGGTAAGTAACAATAAGATAAAGGGATTGCCCCCTCTCTTTCTGACTAACTCTTTACTGCTCAATGTGTCAGCTTGATTTGATTGTTAAACCCACATAATTGTATCATTTGGTCATCTTGATGTAGAAAAAGGTCACACTGTGGAATGTCACTTTTGGGTCTTTGGTCTTTATCTATATGCTCCATACCAAAATCAACTTCCATTTTTTTTTTGTTTGTTTTTTTAGCAAACCATTTTCTATAAAGTTTGTATTTTTTTTTTAATTCCTTGAGGAAGTTGAGTAAATTATCRCAACTTGCGGATTTTTTCTTGCATTAAAAAAAGAGCAAAACGTTCTGATTAGTGGGGTATCTGAGTTTAACCTTGCCATAATTTGGGTTTGTCTCGCCGGGCGGGTTTAAWAGCAGGTTGTGGCTGAGTTATGACGCGTTGAAGACAAAGTCAWAGCCCCTGTATATTTTGTACAGCTCCGTTAGTGAATGAAAACATTGTATGTTCACAGTTTAAGTCAGTCGATCTTGTAATGATACTTCTGAAACCATAGATGAGAAGAAGCTTGCCTGTGTTTCCCAAACCACTGACGGTTTCCTACCAGCATTTAGCAGACTTAGAACGGTGTATACTCTAGTTACTCAAGTCACATTTGTACCTACGTCCTCAGTCGGATTCTAGACTTCTTTGTTGGTCTGTCCCCTATACCTTCCCGATGAAATGTAAACTATGTTATTGAGGTTTTAATTGCTGCATTATTGCCTTTTACAATGCTGTGTTTTGGATGTAATTATTCTGTATTTTTTATTTAAACTGTACGTAATAATCAGTTGGAACAAGGGTCATGTGTTTCACATGGAATTCACAAGCATGTATATGCGGAAACAAAATAATAAAAACAGCAAACAAAAGACATGTAAATACTTGTCCTGGAATATGAAAAGCAGTCACACGAAGCACAAGCTGAACTAAATTATTGATTTGTGTAAAAAGAAAAAAAGGTTGGAAACGTAAGAGCGGCTGTCTGATTGGGATTTGAATTAAAGGATGTTGCTGAGAAAGAGAGAGAGAGAGAGAGCTGCTCTTCATGCTCATTAGAAACCTTTAACCAAAGACATGTTTCCTAAATATTCAGACACGGAGTTCTTTATTTGGCCAAAACGTTTTCAGTGTAACTGTATTGTTAGAAATTTGACAAATTGAAACTGGTCAAGTTAAATAACTGTAATAAAAGTGAATGACCCCTTATCTGGTGTCTCTGTCTTTATTCTGAACTGCAAAGTCAAAAGGGKGATTCTGTTTGAGCCTGTGTGTGTACTTAGTTTCTGTTAACTTTTTAGTACCTTTTCTGATATAAACACTAACCTTGTCAGGACCAGTAGTTCCTTTGGGGACCAAATGGTGGAACAGCTTTTTTGGTTTAGAGGTTTTAGACTAATGTGTGGATTGAGGGTGGGTTAGGGTTATGTACAGGGGGTGGTTAGGTACAGTGTTGTATAAAGTACCTCAAAGTGATACTTGAATAAAAGTACAAGTATCTTACCATAAATTTACTTTGGTAAAAGTTCAAGTCTCCTCTAAGAATACTACTTGATAAAAGTCTTAAAGCATCCAATACATGTTGTACTTAGGTATCAAAAGTAAATTTCTGACAAAAAATGTACTTAAGTATTAAAAGTAAAAGTACTGAGTAAAAATGAGTGGCTATACTTCCCAGAATGACATTTATTGGGAGTTGATATCCTCAAAAACTTTTCTCTAAAGGCCAAAATGACTATTGTCATATAAAAATTTTAATGTTAGAAAACTTAGGATGCACTACACCTGTTTATATATATATATATATATATATAT